ATCAAAACGGTGCCGTCACAGATAGACTGGATCTTGCCGTAGTGTGGTGTTTTTTGCACCTCGACAACTTAGTGAGCTATACTGTGGGGGTATCCGCGCGAAACTCAGTTTCCCACACCAGATTGGCTAGAGGTATCACGAACACAGTTCCCTGTCCAGGTTGGGGGTTGTAACATGTGGGGCGACTTGATTCGTAAAAATGGTAGTGTACTTGCCTTTCCAGCCGAACACCGCTGCCTTGCGGTTAGGCTTTTGAGCCAAAGACTTTGGTTGAGGACTCTAATCGTCCTGTTGTCTAGGTGTGGGCACCCTGATGGTATACAAGCCCGCGTACAACCATGACATTTACAGTTAACAATACTCTCACGCCACATCGGCCGTCAAGTGGTGAGATCAAATGGGTCACCTGCTTGCTGTAAAAAGCAGGGCGGGCAAGCGAAAGCATGCTACTGCTGACGTCCCCTTTTTACACATTCACGTTTTCCCTCTTCCACCCTAACCCACCCAAATTTGAATACTTTCTCCACAGGTCCCGGCCCCAGGACCGTTTTGCTCACCGCGCATCACACTCGGGTGCAGCTTCTGCACGTCTGACTTTAGTAACAACCGTAAGCACTCCGGAATCTGTTTACAAAGCCTGTCTACTTAGCCGCCATCAATGTTCGCACACTGAAACAATCAGGACAACAAGTTGCTCTTGCTCATACGCTGGATTCCCTCTGCATTGATATATGTTGTCTGTCGGAAACAAGGATGCAGGACGCAAATACCGCATCCCTTCCAGATTCCCGATGCGCAGCTGTGGTGATACAGAGACCGCTGCAACTGGAAATGTTTGGGGGGTATTGCACTGAGCAACCGAGCGGAAGCGTCTCTGCTTGATTGGACAACCGTTGATAGTCGCCTGTGTCGCTCGTTTGGCGATATCTGAGAGAATTTAGTGGAAGTGAGGTTCATCGAATTTTGTTTGTCTGCTTACGCCCCAACTAACTGTAGCTCTGAATCTGCCAAGGACAGTTTTTATGACGCTCTAGGTGCTCTTCTACAGTGGGATAAATGCCCAGATATCTTTGTGGTTGCTGGTGGTGGGTAGACTAAGCGCTGCTGAGGCCCGATTGGGTGGTCGTCTTGGTTTGGACACGAGACGCACAGAGAACGGGGGTCGCTTATTTCAGATGTGTGGTGGTCGTCTTGGTTTGGACACGAGACACAGAGAACGGGGATCGCTTATTTCGAGTTGAGACCTATCCTTTGCAGTACCAATTTTCGGAACAGCCCCGAGTCCAAATAGGCCACATCGCCGTCAGTAATCAGTGGCGAGGGTCGATCAACACCTGTCGCTCCTTCTGGAACACCAGCGTGGACTCTGACCATGCAACTGTACGCTGCTGCATCACCTTGCGCTTTTCAAGTGTATGCAAAACGCGCACTTTGCTTCGTCAGTGAGAAGCCAGTGGACCCAGAAATCAAACAAAACTAACAGAACCAGCTCACACCTGCCGGATGGTGCGATGTTGGAAAAGATATCCCATGCGCTACTCAAAGCCGGAACGTCTGTTTGCGGTACAACCCAGCCAAACTCATCCAAACATTGGATCTCCGATAAGACCGTATATTTGCTGGAGACTCCCACGCAGCATCCGACGCCAGGTGAAAATGAGTGTCCGTGCAGACCGAGAACCTTGGTGGACTCGAAAGACCGTAGGAACGGAAGACGAAAGATGTCAGAACCGTCCACAAGCTGTGGAATCAAGTTCGACTGGTCTTCGGAAACCTCTTGTGAGTGAAACAACCGGGAACCAAAATGGCTCCCTGATATAGAGCAAAGGAGGAAGTTCGGACCGCTGGACAGTTGGCCAACTGCCACTTCCAATCTGGAATCCTGTGCTTCAACTTAAAGGTGGCCTGTGAATACAGAGGCGCCTTCAGTCTCAGAAGTGTCCGAGTGTATTTCTTTACTCAAGCGTCATCGTGCCGATGGTCCTGACGACCTCCTCTTTCAAAGGACGGTGGTGGGCTTCTCAGACGGTACCTGTCTAGCCGATTTGGGTTTATCTGGCAGAAAGATACCGTCCCAGACAGCTGGGGTGAATCGACAGTAGTGTCCATTTTCAAAAAGGGTACCCAGAGTGAATGTAGTAACCACAGAGATGTTAGTTTGAATCCCATCGTAACAAGCAAATGGCATCACTGATTCTTCGGCAGTATGCAAATCCTTGATTCGTAAGAATTAGGCGGGATTTCGACTGGGTAGAGACTGCGTCGACCACAACTTCCCACTCCGTCAGGTGTCAGAGCAACGCCACATATACAGACGACCTACAGTGTTGGTATTCCTTAACTTCAAGGGTGCGTTCGATTCCGTCGATTGGTCAGCTCTTTTGACTACTGCTCAACAGGGTATGCCCTAAAAGTTTGTGGGCATAATCCGATCCCTATATTCACATACCTCCGAAAGTGTGATAGCCCAGGGTAAGCTCTCTAAAAGCTTCCCTGCAAAAAGTAGTGTTCAGCAAGGATGTCCATTCCATCCATGCTTGTTCAACTTCGTCATTGATGAAATATGAAGCCGAACGCTGGAAGGCCTTCGGAACCCCGGTGTTCAAATCGTTGCTGGTGAGAACTTTATCGATACGAGACGGCATCTCCTTCGTCTCCGAAGACGAGGCACAAGCCCTGTTGAATAGACTGACCACCGTCATAGCATCTTCCGACATGCGTTTAGCACCTTCAAAGTGGAAAGTCAGGTTTCAGAACGTGCTATCCGCGAACATATCCCTTACAATTCAAGGAGAATCACTGGAGATTGTGGAAAACTTTATATACCTCGGTAGTTGTATTAGCTCTGACGTAGGCGTATCTGATGAAGTCAGTGCAAGAATCTCAAAGGCTTGAATCACGTTTGCTAATCTGCGTCACCTGTGGCATCAAAAAGGCATCTCACTGGATCTTAAGGGTCGTGTGTACCAGGCTACAGTAAGGGCTGTGTTGTTGTATGGGTGCGAGACATGGCCCCTGCGGACAGATAATGTGAGGCATTTTCGGGTTTTCGACCAACGACGCCTCAGAAGCGTGGCTCCGTGAAAACATCCAGCATCATCGACTACGCCGCTCGGTCATGTGCTACGCATGCCGAAACATCATCTACCGAGACGAGTGTTGTTCTCCGTGCCTCCTTCAGGATGGCGCGAGCCGCGAGGTGGACAGCACATGAGTCGGTAGAAAGGCGTGAAAGAGATCACATAGAGTCTGGGTGTTGTTGGTGTTGTACACCTCTCAGGATGGGGTCCCTGTGACCCCGCCTGTGCTTGGCTGGAGACATGGCAAGAAATGGCGGCTAATCGATGTCAGTGGCATTCGTGCTGTCAGTTTCTTTCCAGATTGTCTGATTCAGTGGTTGGAGGTGTATGCACCTCAGAATACTTGATATAGGCCAACACTAGGTCCCCTTCCTCACTCACTCTTTTTTCTTCTTACTGTAAGGCTTCAAAAATAATTAGACTAAACTTATGGTTGCACCACAATGAAGCGTCAGTGTCAACACATGTTGCTGTCTCTGAAGATGATGATGAAAAAAGATTAAAAACGTCCTTAGTTGTGGTAAAATACCCTAAGCCAGTCACAGACGCTATGCGCTGCGCCAACTAACCGTTTTCTATTTGGAATTCTATGCTAAGTGAGAAAGTGACTTAGTGATTGCGGGATGCTGTAGAAACGCGATAGGCAGCTCGGGATCTAATAAGGTCAGTTGAACTTCCGAACTCGTTTCGAAGGAAAGATCACATCAAAAAAGCTTACAAAAAGAGCCTCGGGCTTGGCAAGAATTCCTGGATTCTCCATAAAGAAACAGTCCAAGGGTCTGAATAAAAGACAGTGAGCCCCACTCTGTCCAGACGGCAGATAATCATCAGCGCTGACTTATTAGTAACTAAACCGAATGCAGTCAGATGCCTCAGGAGTCCATAAGATAACTTGGACTTGGTTTGCTTATCATTCAGTATGTACAATCTAAGATGCTGTGCAACCGAAGAAAAGGATACTTAGCGATAACCTTGTGTTTGTGTGACCACCATGACCAATAGCAAGGTAACCGCTTCCCAATAACCACCAATATATATCGGCTTCACTATCGTGAGTCGTAAAATTTTGCTGCAACTTTCAACCCGACTACCTGGAATACCCAGCGATCTCAGTGACGGAAATTTCTACGATGAGCGGCACGAAGTTGGACTGGTACCTGCAAAAGCTGTGAGGCGATCGCATATGTTAATACGCAAAGTTTGTCGCCCTAATTGTCTTATTGAACATAAGCATACATTATGCACTAACGTCGAATAGTTCTCAAAAACACACTGCTATCCATAAAGTCGGTGAAAACTCTGGACAACCCACTACTGGTTTCGCTTCTCTTGACACCCATCAGTACGTCTAGTCCCGGAATTACAACCAACCTTATTTCTTACATCTACATCAAACCGCATGCATGTTGCGGCAAATTAACTCAGTGTTGAGGGAAGACTTAGCATGAACTTACTTAAATCGCCAATTCATGAGTATAAAATCAACGGATCAGAACATCACAAACGAGAGATTCAGCTGGACTCATTTGGGTCTCCCGTTAGAACAAAATTAGTATGAAAACAGGAGTATTTAGACTACGTGAAGCATCGATAGGTCTTGGGTATTTGAGCGGATATTTAAAAAGACACATTACCCTTAGAGATGTTTCTAACCCCTAGGGTGAGTCTCGTATCGTAGGGTTCAAAATGTGCTAGTAACCATGTCCACCTAGAGCTGCGTCGGAGGGACGGGGCAATGATTTCGGTTAAACTACAGAGTGTACTGTGGGGGCAATTTAAGATCCGAGCACCCAGCGCCTTGCAATAAACTGTTTCTCAATGACCTTACACAAAAGTCAACATGTCAAACGCTGTAGTCCACACAGTGTAGCAAATCAACTCAACTTGTAGCTCATTAAACTGGAAGAAATCCATACCTACCTCTCCAACCAGCATTTCGTAGATCAACACCCCCAGACCCCACCAATCGACTGCTCGCGTGTACGAACGATCGGTTAGAATTTCCGGGGCCAGAAACTCCGGAGTGCCACAAAAGGTGGATGTACGATCTGTGGGGCCCATACCTTCTTTGCACAAACCGAAATCTGCCATTTTGAGGTAACCTTCGGAGTCCAATAGTAGGTTGTCCAGCTTCAAATCTCTGAAAGTTTAGAAAAAGATGATGCTAATATACCCTGGGATTCTGCAACATCGTGAGTGACGCAAAGAGCACAGAATCTAGCCGGACAGTTCTATGTATGTGATATTATGTGCGTTTATGAAAATTCCCCTCAGAGATGTGGTATATGCAATTAGTAAGCAGTCATCCCACAAGATCCGTCTGATGAAAGGCGACCCCCCACACCCATTCCTTACCGAGATGGGCGAATCAATCCACACATTTGGCGATAAAGTTATGAAGGAACGGAGAACATCTCGGTGCATCATTCGGCTAATATGGCAGGAAAACATGAAAAACATTAGTCAAGAATACGCGGTGTGTTAGCGATTCCAGTATGGGGAAACGAGATGTGAAGTGCGGAAGTATTCCTGACATACTGATTTCTACTTAACTTCCGCAAAATCTCGTGTGCGGGAGAGGTGAATTCGGAAATGAAATGTACAGCATAACCATAGGTGGACAAGTACGAACTAACTTGTTACAGGGACCATTAGCCTGCTTGCGGTCCGATAAGACTACCGACGATGGTCCGCGTTGACAGTCTGGTACTGACAAGTTTCAGTCTCATTTGACATACTACACTAGAAACACCAAGTAGACGCCACTTCCAATGTCTGTACCTTCTGTGTGGCAAGTCGTAGAGAGGCAGTTGTTCACCATGTCACGCTCTACAGCTTTTCGCGCAGGGATGCACCAGCTGGAGAGGGTAACGCCCAGATGGAGCAGTCGTTTGTTGCGTGCGTAACTCGTCCGATAGAGCAGACTAACTACGAACTATTGAAAATAGGATTGTTACTACACTGCGGGCCATATGGAAATATCATTCGTGCAAAATGAATCTGGCTGAACTTCCCGAATGCGCACCAATATTCAGATATTATAAGATTATATCAGAAAGCAAAAAATAGCTGCAAAATTTGGAAAAGTTTAACCGTCTATAAAAGGTGACAAAACACAGTAACGAGGAAATGGACATGTGACCGAGTTATCAGCGTGACGGGATGCATCATGCAGCGTGTGCAATCTACCCGTAAGGCAAAAGAGCTTACCTAGACGGCCGATTCCCAACAGTCATGTAAAGACAGTGGTAATTAAATGGTCATACACTTTCAATAAGAAGTAGGTAAGATCTTTGTAATATACTACTCATAAGGTTGCTGAAAATCCGTAGACAGCCCACGACTGGTTTCGCCCTTTTTGGGGTCTGAGAACATCACAAACAAAAGATTCAGCTGGGTTCCAGGTGAGTCTCTCGAAAAACCAAATTGGTTTGCAAATGAGTGTATATTCGCGAAATACGTAAGATGTTATACTAAACCAGAGAAACCGACGTGCAACATGCGTCCTAAAGAAAACTCACCGGTAAACAATCTTGCGGGAGTGCAGAAATCCGATGCCCAACACAACACAGCCTGCGTAGAACACTGCTCGAGGTTCATTAAATACGTCCTGTTGAATGTGTAGCATGAGGTCACCACCTCGAGCATATTCCATCACAAATATGACGTGTTCCTACGATAAACGGAAGATAACATCCAAATATACGTTAACATGGGCACTGAAAATCTACTTAATCGGTTATCATAACCCCATACATCACAACTTGGAGAATGTATTAGTTAATTCGAAATATCATTCCAAAGTACGTTTGCTAGTATTAATTAGCGGGGACAGTAACGTCGTTTATCAAAATTGACAACTCAGCCAAACATATTTAACGCACCTGTAATTCTGCTTGGAATTTCAAAGAAATGTAATTGGTATCCATGACTAAGTAACAATCTGTTCAGTCAGTTCTCTGGTGCACTGTTAGTGATAAGTGACGCCATATCAAAAACAAAAGGGACATTATCGCACGCCTAAATAGCAACTAGCAGCTCAGGACTGAAGGTTCGCGCATCAGTTACAACCATTGAAGACACGAACAACTACGGACGAACCGTACAGTGGTTACTAGGAATGAACATGAAAACTCAAGCCTCGAACCATCACTAAAGACCACCAAAAACACCGAAGTACCCCCAAAACGGCTGCATAACCCGGAAAGAGACTGGAAGAAAGAACGCAATTGAGACTGAGTGTCACAGACAGCATACGTTGAATCCGTCCGAACACACACTCCAACTTGAAAAAAATCTCGAAACACACACCGATACTAGTCTTCACACCCGTCCGGCAAATCAGTGTTTAGGGAAGGACTGTCCAGAACAGACACCCATTGAAGAATTGTGTGACGAATCAACAGTTCGTTCACCCAAACCCATTCCACAGGACAACTGACATCAGCATTGGGGACGAAGAATGGGTACATCCGGAGAGTAGTAATGTTATCAGGCAGATAAATTACTTGTTGCAATCAAGCGCCTCCATAACTGTCTAATGTAGTTATCCAATGGTCCAATTGAGTGTCTCCACGTTTGGTACAGCACCTACTGATGTTGAAGGTAAATAACTAGCGCTCGTGCATCTGATTTTAAGAGATCCGGAAGGTATAGGTGACTTACAGTCTTATTCCGGGTGATTCGGTGACGACCCAAAAGTGCTGCCGGTGAGTATACGGTTTCGGCAGTGACTTAGATTTCCAGAAAAAGTGTACACCAATAAAAGTGTAGAAAAAAATATTCAGTTGCAGGTCATCGGTAAATTACTGTTCGGGTGTGTATGGACCTCGAAGTTCGTCGTGTGGAAACAGCGTCACTCTAAAAAAGCCTCCGAAAAGAATGGCTCCCCAAGAAATGACATGTAATGTAGATCCGTAACCGCCATCACTAAATTGATGGAAAGTCCCAATAGGTACCTAATGTTTTCAGAAATATGGTCCAACAGTGCTTACTGTTTCTGAAACCAGCACAGACAAACACTACTTAACAGATTGTTTGATGCCGACCTGGCTACTGATATAGGGTTATCGAAGGCCTTGGTGGTTACCTCCGATACGTATTACTGGTGCGAGTCGGAAATGTGAGCCACATGATAATTACTCTAGTTAGGATAGGTAATGACAGGAATCCGTCGGAGGATTTCTTTGATCTGATGAGTGACCAACTCGGGTGTACTAGACCAATTCCATCAACGACCAAAATATGACAAAAACGAATGAACAGTTAATGAAGAAAGCCGTAAGGGAACATCGCTAAATTATTGGAAATCGCTGAAACAACATTTGGGGATTTACGTTAAAGTGAATGAAAAAGTTACAGCGTCAAACAGAAGATCATTCAATGGACGGTTATGTATTTGTCGGCCGGCGAAAAGTTGTATGGTTAGTTACTGAAGGTGAGTGCTAACAGCATGTACATCCTCGTTGAGTTTCACTTGAAGTAAAGGGCTCTACCGAGAGCATCTCGATGGGTGAAACTTCTGTGTCAATGGGGCCCAAACAATGAGTTTGAAACAGTGCAAAATGGGTTCACTCTGACAGCATGACTAACCTAGTAAAGTCGGCGCTGAAACGATAAAACGAATGGAAAGCCCGTACGGCAGAATATTTTCTGGTTATCATAAAATGCAACGAAACCAGAACATTGACTCAAAGCCTGCATCATAGAAATGTGACACATCATCATCATCATCATCATTGTCAGCTGTAATAACCGCGTACTCGTCGTACTGTGGTTGTAGCTGCCGCAGTTTCGTTCACCGATGGTTTGGGGGGGGGGTAGGTAGCTGCGCGTTGCAGGCGGGAGCTGATAAATTGGGGCATAGATCCAGCACTGTCAGTGGGCTGTCAAGTGGTGAGGGGGTTGGAAAAGGAGCTATGCATTGAAGGCAATAGCTTGGATGCACGAGCGCCATTG